CATATCACTATATAACCTACAACTATTTAGAGGGTAACAAAAAACTACTGTGTATCCATAGATTTGACAACTTCGATGAAATGGACACATTTCTTGAGACACAAGCTTCCAAATTTCCTTCAAAAAGAAATAGATTAGCCTTATATCTTTTTTAAAAATTCATTTTTAATTAAAAACCTTCCAACAAAGAAAATTCCAGGCCCAGATGGCTGTGAAGCCCTATCATTTTCTGCATTTGCTTCGGTTTTGATTCTCCACTCTGGGCTTCATAATTATTAGATTTTTGTTTTTTCAAAACAGGATCTCACTCCATCACCCAGCCTGGAGTGCAGTGGTATGACTGTGGCTAACTGCAGTCTCAACCTCCTGGGCTCAAGCAATTCTCCCACTTCAGCCACCTGAGTAGCTGGGACAACAGCCACACAGAACCATGCCCAGCTAATTTTTCATTTTTTTTTGCAGAGATAAGGTTTCACTCTGTCGCCCAGGCTGGTCTTGAACTCCTAAGCTCAAACAATCCTCCTTACTCAGCTTCCCAAAGCACTGAGATTACAGGCGTAAGCCACTGCGACTGGCTAATTATTTGACCTTTGTGTGTGAATATTGTTTGTGTTATACCTACATAATTATTTTTTAGATATTAAGTTCATAGAAATTTAGTTTAAAAGTTATTACTATACTATCTTAGATTCATGATCATTTTTCAATTAATGACTTTATAAGCACCATTAAAGCTATCCCCACAACTCCATGAAAAGGGGAGGCAAATGGAATCATGGGGAACAGAAGTTAAACAACTTTTCCAGCCTCTTATTAAATTGATCAGTTCAAATGAGTCCAACTATAAGTCAAGGGCCTTGAGTCTTGTCTGCTGCACTCCTGTGACTGGACTAACTGGGTCTGGCTACTGTGCAAGGTCAAAAATACACAACCCAGAACTGCCAAGCTAAGGGAGAAATCAAGAGTTGGAGTAAGATTACCATGCCAGAGCTAGACATACAAAAATGAAGATCTGAGACAAAGCAGACACAGTCAGCAGGAAGCAAGGACGACTGAGAGTTTTGCAAGTCTGAATTAGGCTTTCAAGCCATGGTAGGACAAACCAGAGGTCAAAGGGGAGGCCCAGAGGAAATTCAACCCTTCAGACTTTCTGCTGAAATAGACTGGGGTCAGGGAGGCCAATTGGCAGCTTAGAGAAGACAGCCTGAGGCTGAATATCTGGTTCTACCTGAGGTGTGTGTCTTATGCCCTTTCTGATCTGGTTCACAGATTAACTTTTGCATGCTCAATTCACTCACCCTGCTCCCCCGCAAGGTCCAGAACTGATCAGTAAACTCAGCCGAACAGTGGATTTTGTGAAATAGAAAAAAGCCAAGACAGTTGATTGAATGAACAATGTCAGCAACGCGTTAGATGTTTTGGTGTCCTTTTGACAGAGCTTATTCATAATCACTTTTGCTTAATGTTTTAAAGTATGATCTTATATTTAAAAGAAAATGTGGAGTGGCAACAGAAAGAACAAGTTTTGAAGTAAAAATGACTTGAATAAAAATCACTGCTGTTTTTGGGCACAAGACTTTAGACAATTAGAAATCTCTAAATCTCAACGTCCCCATATATAACATGGGATCAACAATGTCTACCTCTTGTGAGAAATAAATGATATTTGCAAAGCACCTAATACATAGAAGGCACTCGATAAAAAGTAATAATATTTTATACATCTTGTTTAAACTGAAACTTGGACATTCCATAAATAATCCATCTAGTTTATTCAACAAATATTTATTGAGCCCCTACTATGTGCAACAAATACTCTTTTAGGTACATGGGATTCAACAAGAAACCCCAGTCTCTGTCCTCCTGGAACTGGCCTTCTATTGAGGGTTTGTATACCATATGCCAACACAGCAAAAGATGCTGCTTCCACTGGGCCCAGAATAGAATCCTTCACCCCACTTCACTCCACCGGTAACAACTAAGGTTACCAAATTACACCTACTGGAAAGATATTCTGTAGCTTTCCCTGATACTTTCTGCCTCATCATAATAATATCCTGCTAAGGAAAAAGGTCCAGTTCTGCAGAATGGATAACATCTATTCAGAATAGGAATGTAAACTTTGCGGGCCACCCCCATACATCAGTACTGGTATTGGTATTTCAAAGTAATCATATGCTACAGGGGCCAAAGACTCAAATGCCAACTGGGGGGCCATGGGTAAATGAGTCAAGAAGCCCAGTGCCATGGTTAAAGAGTGAGGAAAATTATAAAAATTAAACTATCTCTATAAAATGCGCAGCCACTACTACTTTCAGTCGATATTGCCAGAGAAAATGCTAGTGTGGTCAGATCTGACTTTTTAAGAGAAGCCGAAATCTGAATTTTTACATAAAATTAAGTGATTTTCCAAATAAAATCTCTCAATAGTACTTATTCAGCCCAGGAGACATAAATTTACAAGCCCAATCGAGGTTTAGAGGACTACGTTTTTAAAAATCAGTAGTGTAAACAGTCTGTAATCCTTTTTCACTTGCTACATGGAAAGACATTCTCAGAATTGCAAAATGCCAAATGGCAATGGTTTATAATTTTGTTCATTTGTTTTTATCTGAAACCACAGTTGTTATCCAACATCTAAGAATGTAGAGCTCAATGGGCCAATCCCATAATTTGTGGAGAAGCTGCAATAAGGCTGGAATAATGATGGATTAAAGGGAATAGGTTGCCCTCACCCTAACGTCTCGGGGTCTACCATTACCCTGGGATTAAGAATGCAGAGACTTGTTTGTAGTCACAGATTTTGTATCCTCTCTTGACATGGCTACAACAAGAACGCACATCTGTGAAGTGTTTGCCAGCATGTCAGGAGTAACAGGACTCTTGAAGCCATTTCAAATGTCAATCCTTGTGCATAACATCTTTAAGAAGATTGTTGCTAGAGATCTTAATATTAAAAAAAGAAACCTGAAACACAATACTTTTAGCCACTTAAAAGTGGAGTTCTTTTTCACTAAGCAAAGTTGAACTTTTTAAACTTCTTTTTACCAAACAAGCCTCTTTTTGGTGGTGAGCAAATAAATTAGCATGTGGGTCCTAAGTGCTCTTAAAATCGTTTTGCTATAGATCTGTCCACTGTTTATAATTCTTGAATAAAGCTAAAAGTAAAGAAAGCCTTTCTCTGAAGGTTTATGAGCATTTTTCCATGAAGCAGAAGTCAAACAGAAGATCAAAGTGATCTAACAAAATGCTCCAAACTTGGGTTGGGGTGGGCTGAAAGGCGGTGAAAACAAATCAGCCCCTCCAGATAGTTTGAGAGATATGTCTTTTTACTTAAAATGAAACAAAACGGAAAGCATGAGAGTTTGAGCATATCAAACTAATGAGAGTTTGAGTGAATCAAGCTAAGGTTTCTGAACAATGTTGTTCAAGTATCCGCCTTTGATATTTTACCCATAGTATCAAAAACATCTTAAAGGAAGTTAGTCAACTGTTGTACCAAGTAGCAAATATGAACAAAATCAGGTGAATTTCATATCCCTCTGTTCCTAACAGCCATTCATCTCTAGGCTTCTCTGAGTCTCTGCCAAGGGTGGACATTTCCAAGCTCACAAAGGATTAATGTACAGTCTTGAACTGTTTTTGAAGAGTCTAATGTATTCTGTATATTTTGAATACTACTTAATTGGCATTTAGTTTTTCATACACTACCAGTTTAAATGCCCACTAACCATTTACTTTACATAGAAAAATAAAACAAAGGAAACAAAATAAATTTATCGCTGAAAAGGCATGAATCTATTCTTCCATGATTAAATCCTCAATAAATCTGCTTCTAATCACACATTGGTATTTAAAGATCTAGTAACTACTCTATTAAATTTAATTCTCTCTATTTAATGACAGTTATTCTCAATATAATGACAGTTATTTGAAATATATACCCACAGATTATTAACAACATTTTAACAAGAGTTTTAAACCATGGAATGTGAGTATGAATCTATCAAATGTCAATAAATCAATTCCGATTTAATGCAGAATGCCTGAATTGTTAAATCAAAACATATCCCAAGTGAGAATGTTTTTAAAACATTTTAATGGAAAAAAAAATTTGCCAGGGGGAGAATAACCATTTGCGAACTGCTAGTATTATTTCAGAATAAAATTAAGGATATATAACTGTATAATATATTTATTTTATATAAAACTATGCATTTGAAGGAGCACATTAAATTTTCTTGATTGGGCTGGGCACAGTGGCTCATGTCCGTAATCTCAGCACTTTGGGAGGCTGAGGCGGGCAGATCACAAGGTCAAGAGTTCAAGACCATCCTGGCCAATGTGGTGAAATCCCTTCTGTACTAAAAATACAAAAATTAGCTGGGCATGGTGGTGCGTGCCTGCAATCCCAGCAACTTGGGAGGCTGAGGCAGGAGAATCGCTTGAACTAGGGAGTCGGAGGTTGCAGTGAGTCGAGATTGTGCCATTGCACTCCAGCCTGGCAACCGAGCAAGACGCCATCTAAAAAAAAAAAAAAAAAAAAAATGACTGGGAGTTGCTTTTATCCAGAAAACAATTATAACCTTATGAGTCAAGTGGTTTTACTTTTTCTATTGCCAATTAAATATGTGCTAAAATATTACAAACTATTTTATTCCAGAGATTCACAGCCAGGTTTTTTACAAAACATTCCTTTATATTGAACATAAGAAAAATTGTTTTCAAGTTACAGTGCTCACCAATTCACCATCTCTTAAACAAAACAAAGTCCTTAATCCAAATAATTCTGTTTCAGGCTACTGGCACAGTTTGCTGCCTATCAGATACACTCTGGCTGCCATATCTTTCTGGTCAGCATAAATGGTCCATGCCATTCTTGCTTGAACTTTCCCTTCCACGTATCCTCTTCTACATCACTGGAGCATTTACTGGACCAGGAATGTAGACTGGCAAGTCAGTGTGACGTAAGAATCCTAACCTATAAAGTACATCAGTAGACACTTTGTAGCATGTGCCGTTTATTAGGGTTTCCATTAAAAGCATTACATTTCCATACTTTACAACCATAAAAGAGTAAATAATTTCAAAGGATTCCTTGATAGGAGACTTCTGTTTTAAATGGAACTTGGAAATATCTGGGAAATCACTGGAATAAATGTGCTTAATAGACCCAATGCTGTGAAGTTCTTTTTAACTGTTTTCTTAAGCACATAAAAAGATATAACATTTCCTCCAACATTTTTTGAAATACATTTTGGTTTGGGGTTTTTCTCTGTAACATTTGCTGTATAAATATTTCTTACAATGCTTTCATTGTTCTTTCTTTCTTTCCTTCATTCTTTCCTTCTTTCTCTTAGTGCTGAGGCTGACTTCTTAACACCAATAGATTCTGATCCCTTTCATTGCTTTAATCTGCAAGATAAATTAGAGCTTAAAGTCAGAAAGTACCATTACATGCCACTGAAGAAAACCTGCCGCACTACATGATAAGTTGGCAAACATATACTAAATGTCCCTGTTGAGATATTTCCTTTTTTAGAGGAAATTCCATCCATGGGACTAAGCAAATATTTCATCAATCTGGGCTGTATGAGAAGCCAATACAGCATTCTTTTCATGGAAAAGATTAGATCAGGCCAGTTTCAGAATGAAATAATTTTTAAATATATTCCTAATACCAAACATTTAAGGAAAATTTAAGTAGTCCATAATATATTCTCACATTATAATCCAATTGGAATTGTCCAGATCAGCTGCCTTTATGATCCTCATTCTCCAGGAAATTACATCAATTTATCTCCGATTTTGTCTGTGTAGGCACGACATTAGATAGCACACTTTCTTTTTTCAGGATTGCATTTCTAAGCATCAGCCAAAGTACCTCAACAACACTAGCTGTCAAAGGCAAGATGATGAGTAGATAATATACTTAAGGTGAAACTGTTTGATTATCTAACTGTACCAACTAGAGGTCACAGGATGGTGGAGATTAATTTCTTTAAACCAAAATGTTAAACCCTCAATAACAACCCCTGGCACCAAGAAAAGTAAGCATGGAATGTTATCGGGTGGGTTTTCCCAAGTTAACGAAGAAGGCACGAGTAATTGATTATAGCAACTACCAGACTTGCATGCCAGGCTCTGTACCAAATTGTTGGCCCATATCATATCATTTAATTCTTACAACCCCTCCTGATCTTTGTTTTACAGATGAGGAAATTGAGACTCAGAGAGTTGAGGAACTTTCCCAAGGTAACAGAGTTAGTAGTGTACCTAGGATTTTAACCCAAGTCTGGCTGAGTCCAAAGCATATGTCCTTAACTGTCATGCCCAATATCCCTCTAGATTCAGAGTCAGGCAGGGTTAGAGGACAGAGCCCAGAGCCAAAGCTAAAAAGAAGGTTGACTTTTAGGAGGTGAAAATGCAGTCAAGTCAAGAAGGAAGTTATCCAACATCTGTTCACAGGGCCAAGGCCTCCTCCTGGCAGAGTAGATCTGGTTGGCAGGGAAGGAAAATTGAAGGTACATGAGCAGCATCTTGGATCTGGGAAAAAGACCTAAAGTCTGAGCACTATCAAGTGGGAGAGGAGGAAAAGCTATATGCCTCCCTCTAGTACTGACATAGGCCTAAGCATCTGCGTGGTGGAAAGCTGATGGATTCATCTAGCTCAGATGGCAAGTAAAGAGGAATGAAGGCAAAGAATGACAATCCAAGGCATGTCTCAAGGTGATCACTGCATGTGGACACTACTTGGGAGAGGCTGGGAAAGGGAGCAGGCGAAGAAGAATCTAGGGGAATTAATCACTTGCCTGCCAAGGAGATGCAGTTCAGAAACCAAAGGGAAAAGCAGGGCTCGCTCCCACAAAGCACTCAATCTCCTGAAAGAAAAAGCATAAATAGAGTCATATTTGCCAATGAAGGTTTCTAAATGTTTAAACTAGCTGGTAACACCGCACAGATGGAGAAACTAATGCTTGCGGAAGTTAATGATTTGTACCGTAGTCACTCGGTGAGTCGGAGATAGAGCAGATGTAAACCCCCAATCTCAGGACTCCCAGATCTGCACATAAACTATCAAAAATACAAACCTTCTAGCCCTGAAATCTGCCCAGCCCTTTGTCTACTGTGTGGTCCCTGTCAACCTTCAACATTGTACTACACAGAAGGAATTTCTTTCCCCTTACACGGTTTCTAAGTCTTGGTTAGCTACATGACTGGGTCTCTGTGTTTTTTCTTTTATTCTTTCATTCATTCTACAAATATTTGTTGAATTTTTACTATGCACAAGGCACTGTTCTAGATGCTGGGAACACAGCAGTGAACAAGACAGAGACCTTGCTTTCCTCTAATGCTGGTTCTGGGAGGGGCAGACAGACAATGAACACACAAGAAAATATCAGAATAAAAGTGTTATAAAAGAAAATAGAGCAGAGTGATGGGATGGAAAGTAATAGCAGGAGATAACTTAGACTGAATGGTCAAGGATGGACCCTTAGGTGAGGAGATTTTGAGCGGAGACCTGAATGCCACCAAAAAACCAGCCAAATAAAGATGGAAGGAAAGCAGATTTTTCAATCCAAATATGCACGTATAGATTTCCCAGTTACGCATTCTATAACCTGTTTTTCCAGCTACTCAAGATAACTTATTAGATTGCCAGCGAATGAAAGTGTCATCCTATGTGGAATAAAGTAACATATTTTATTCTAAATTTTAAAGTTTCATTAGCAAGCTTTGATATTTTGATGATTAATTTTTATGAATCTGAAATTCCCTACTCATTTCACAACATATTAAGACACAGCAGTCTTATCAGAGATTAGTACACAAAGGAAGTAAGAGATTCACTGAAGAGCTCAAGGGCATGACAAATGTTTCATCCAGATTATGCTCAAATTCATCTGCATGATAAATACTACACACTCTGTGGTCCACCACCGTCACTACCTTGCCCCATTTTATTCTAACCGGCCTCCCAGCTCTCCAGCAACCAAGGTGATCCTTTCAAAAAGAAACTGCAATCATGTCTCTCCACCACTGACCTCACTCTAAATTACAACATTCTGCAACTGTGGATTGTTATGGGCTGAATTACATCCCCCTAAAATTCAAACATTGAGGCCTGTATTAGTCTGTTCTCACACTGCTAATAAAGACATACCTGAGACTGGGTAATTTATGAAGGAAAGAGGTTTAATTGATTCACAGTTCCAAGTGACTGGGGAGGCCTCACAATCATGACAGAAGGCAAGTGAGGAGTCAAGTTACATCTTAACATGGCGGCCCGCAAGAGAGCTTGTATAGGGGAACTCCCATTTATAAAATCATCAGATCTCGTGAGACTTATTCACTACCACAAGAATAGGAGGGGGGAAACTGCCCACATGATTCAATTATCTCCACCTGGTCCCAACCTTGACACGTGGGGATTATTACAATTCAAGGTGAGATTTTTGGTGGGGACACAGCCGGACCATATCAAGGCCCTAATGTGACAATATTGGGAGATTAGGGCCTTTACGGAGATAATTAAGGCTAAATGAGGTCAAAAGGGAGGGTTCCTATCCAATAGGACAGGTGTCTTTATGAAAAGAAGAGACACCAGAGATCTCTCTGTACATGCTCATAGAGAAAAGGTCGTGGGAAAACACAGCGAGAGAGTGGCCATCTGAAAGTTGGAAAGAACTGCCTCACCGGACATCAACTCTGACAGCACCTTATCTAGCACTTCTAGCCCCTAGAATTGTGGGAAAATAAATGTCTGTTGTTTAAGCCGCCCAGTCTGTGGCATTGTTATGGTCCCCTGGCAGACACATGTGTGGTTGTTGACCATCTACTCACCTCACTTTCCTCTGCCTCTCTCCTGCTTTGCTCCCCTCACCCACTCATTCCAGACAGGCTAATGGCCCTGTTCCCTGTGCCTGAAGGATTCCTCCCAGAATATCCACAGGGATCTCCCTTTCTCCCTCTTCAGGGCTTTGCTCAAATGTTCCTTCCCAGCGAGACTTTCTCTGACCACCTGTATTTAAAATCATGAAACCTCCCCTCCTCCACAGCTCATTTCATTTCCCTCCTCTATTACTTTCCATGGCACTTATCCCCTGTCGATAAATAATAGCCACGTAACTTATTTATTTGGGTGCATTGTTTGCCTCCTCCAACTATGATATAAGCTCCATGAGGGCAGAGAGTGTTGCAGTCCTATATCCTGTCAGATGAGGACAGAATAGAGGAGTGTACAAGTGTGTGTGGGGAAGAGAGAGAAACTGAGAGACAGGGAAAGAGAGAGGGAAAAGATCACCAGTCAGATCAAGATTTTGCCCACTGGAAGCAGTTCTTTTGAGCGCTTTGACCCAAATTTACTAGATATGGACTTATAAACGCTAATAAAATAACAAAGAAAATACTGTAAAGAGTTCACAGTGCAATGAGGAGGTACTACTACCCAGCACCTGGCAGAGGCCTGTTACAAAGGAGAAGTTCAGTGATTATTTTTTCAACCGAATGGTTATTGTCACTATGACCAGCATCTCCATAATCTAGTGACCTGCCCCCATTACTAACAATCTGATTATGAGGAAGGGTTTTATCATTTGGAAACGTCACAGGTCATTGGGAGCAGGGTCTTATGTGCTGACAGTGACTAGCGTAGTGCCTGACTTGTAGTAGACTCCCGGTAAATATTTGTGGAATTAACTGAATTTTTTTTTCACATTTATTGCTTTAACATAAAAGAGATTACAAAGAATCAGATGAAGAGATACATAGGGAAAGGAATGTGGAAAGGGACACAGAGCTCCCAAGCCTTGTCTGAGTGTGCCCTCTTCCAGGAACCTCCACATGCTGTTATCCAGAAGCGCATCCGATCTCCGTCCTTTGGGGTTTTCACAGAGGCTTCATTACATAGGCATGATTGATTAAACCATTGGCCATTGGTGATTAACTTGACCTTTAGTCCCTCTCCTTCCCAGAGATTGAAGGGCGGGGCTGAAGTCCCAACCCTCTATTCCTGCCTTGGTCTTTCCTGTGACCAGCCCTCATCCTGAAGCCACCTAAAGGTTGCCAGTCACCAGTCATCTCATTAGCATTCAAAAACATACATTACTTTGGAGATTCCAAGGATTTTAGAAGCTGAACACCAGGAAACAAAGACCAAATATATATCCCATAAAATAACAGTTCACTCCACTCCCTATCCTCCAACACAGATCCCTTATATTAAAAAAATGTACAACTCAAATGGTACTGGCAAATTATTGGAATCCCATTTAATCTTTAATAATTAGTTCAATCCACTCTTACGTCATGCGAATGTGTCTCTCAGGGCAAGGCCACTCAGGTTTGCAGGCTTCCCATTCAATCTTGTCAGGGTCCAAGAGCAAGAGTAGTCTCAGCAAACATAGAGCTTTACC